AAAAAACCAACTCTTAAGGGCGCCTGGGTGGCTCAGTTGGTTAAGCGACTGCCTTCGGCTCAGGTCATGATCCTGGAGTCCCGGGATCGAGTCCCGCATCGGGCTCCCTGCTCGGCAGGGAGTCTGCTCCTCCCTCTGACCCTCCCCCCTCTCATGTGCTCTCTCTCATTCTCTCTCAAATAAATAAATAAAATCTTTAAAAAAAAAAAAACCAACTCTTAAACAAAAAAAAAACCAATTCAGTTTTGCAGATTTTTTCTCTTGTTTCCCTGTTTTCTATATAATCTATTTCTACTCTAATCTTTATTATATCCTTCCTTCTGCTAACTTTGGAATTAGTTTGTTCTATTATTTTTTTCTATTATTATAAGATGTATGAGGGAACAGAATATAAAGATAGGTAAATTATTTGAAAGTAGAACCAGTGGTTCCTGAAGGATACCTGGGGTTGACACCATGCTCATGTCTGTGTCTATATGTTAGTAGCAGTGACCATGCACAGATTGTGTTCTGTTAATTTTTTGCTATGTAACAAAACATCCCAACATTTAGCATCTTTTTTTATTATTATGTTATGTTAATCACCATACATTACATCATTAGTTTTAGATGAAGTGTTCCATGATTCATTGTTTGTGCATAACACCCAGTGCTCCGTGCAGAACGTACCCTCCTCAATACCCACCACCAGGCTAACCCATCCTCCCACCCCCCTCCCCTCTAGAACCCTCAGTTTGTTTTTCAGAGTCCATCGTCTCTCATGGTTCGTCTCCCCCTCCGATTTCCCCCCCTTCATTCTTCCCCTCCTGTTACCTTCTTCTTCTTCTTCTTTTTTAACATTAGTATCTTAAAACAACAACAATCATTGATTTAGTCCCAAGTCTGGAATTTGCGCCAGGTATGATGAGAAAGGCTCATCTCTTCTTCACTCGGTATTCCCTGGGGCAGCCTGAGGTTAGATGGCTCAGTCCTATGGCTGGTAAGCCCATACTCACTGTTGTCTCTGAGAACTTAGCTGTTGAGGGCCCAGGGCCTTAACATCTCTTCCCGTGGCCCATGGCTGTCTGCCCTTCCTCAGAGCATGGTGAGTAGTTCCAAGAGTAAGTGCCTTCGAGAGCCAGGGAGAGGCTGCGTTGCCTATAGTGATCCAGCCTGAGAAGTCACCTAGCATCTTCCAAATTCAAAAGGCGGGGGGGAAGGACCCCTTACCTCTTGATGGAAAAATGTCATCATTTCTTTTCAAGAAGATTTGGGATGGATGATACTGTTGTGGTCATCTTTGGAAAATACAATCTGCCTCAATATCTCAGAATTTATAAACCTTTATTGAGGGGTTTAAAAAGAGAAAGACTGAGAGAGAGAGAAAGGGAGAGAGAAAGAGAGAGAGAGAATTATCTAAGTTCAAGGAGTCCTACTCAAACTTTGGGGCATCCTTATTTCAGCATGAACCTCCCTTAATTAAAGAGTGGTAAAACTGGTTCTTGAACATCTGACTCCTAAGCTTACACATTTCTACAACATTCTGGGGAAATATTACCTTGTCATAGCTTCTCTAAATCTGTGCTCCCCCAATTTTAATGTTTTCAAATATTACCCTAATTTACATAGCACAACCGTTAGCAATCATTAAAATGGGAAGTGGATATAAGCTTGGCAATAAAAACTAAGTAACAAAATATTTTCAAATATTATTTTATTAAATTCTAGCATTGCTTGTGAGGGGGATACAACTATATGTTTTACAGATTTTCACATTATTAAAACAACGTTATTGAAATCATATATCACTTGCATATTCATTATTTGAATGGCATTGCTGCCATGGAAGTCCTTCATTCGATGAGGCTAGTTAGTCCACCTGATCAATTTCCTTTGCACACTCTACCTTCAGGAGTACTGGTGAACTTCTCCCTCAGAAGCTCCATGCCATAGATGACTAAGAGTAAGGACGCTTAGTCACTCTTGTAGCATGTTCTTCTCTGCAAGTTATCCCGCCTAAATAATAATGCTTTTGTTTCCTGTCCCTTTTCCATATTCATAAAAAAGGGAATATCAGTCTACGCCCTATTGGCATTGCCAGGGGGCTGAGAAAATGATAGCCCTATGCAGTTGTCCTCCTTTTGTTAAGTATTGCTTTCATTTTAATTAATACTGAGTAATTCTCTAGTCTGTTTCCCTTAAATTTCAAGTGAACCTGTAATGTTATAAATATACCAAGTCTCCTAAATTTAAAAATCCACCCTAAAGATCAAAATATCTAAAAGGTGAAAATAATCAGGAGGAACAATTTGTCTCTTTTCCCTACTGGATGAAAAACCAATTTTCTGACTTGATACCTTTATTGTGAAGAATGGATAGTTTCTTGTTTGATTTTCAGATCTTGAATATTGAGTTGAACAAATATTTTATAGAGTTAACCTTTGGTTGGGACATATACTAGGTATAAGGGGTCTGTGCTCTTAAAGTTCTTATAATCCAGTTATGCACATGACACATTCAATAACTATGTAAGACAGGATAGCTTTAGTGCCATTGTTGAAGCTATAATAAATCAGTGTGATGAAGAATCCATGCTGACCGGGTCAGATATGAAATGGAGGAGCAGAGTTTGAGAGAGCGAAGGATTCTCACTGGGTAGACAGGTATAGAAGGGTTAGGGCCAAAGTTGAGAAGAAGGGACTGGAATACTATAGGCACAGTCTTCTTCTGTGATGTATCCTATTATATCAACACAGCAGCCATTTGACGAGATAGAGGAATGCTTTAGGACAGAACCATACCTTGTTTTAGCTCTGCCTCCCATTCTATGTTTGGCTCTCCCTATATTCTTTTTTTTTTTTTTTTAAGATTTTATTTATTTATTTCAGAGAGAGAGAGTGAGAGAGAGCATGAGAGGGGTAAGAGTCAGAGGGAGAAGCAGACTCCCCGCCGAGCAGGGAGCCCGATGCAGGACTCGATCCCGGGACTCCAGGATCATGACCTGAGCCAAAGGCAGTCACTTAACCAACTGAGCCACCCAGGTGCCCGGCTCTCCTTATATTCTTAAAACCTACTCTACGGGAATAATGAACTTCTCTGGGTTCCTTCTGGCCTTCCTACAGATATATCAGTAACTCTGAGATACTAGAACAAAGGAGATTAGCTCTGAATTTTGGCTGAGTGCTGCATCTTCAATGCATTTCTTCCTTTTTTTGATGTATTTTTTCCCTTCTGGAAATGCCAGTTCAGATCCTGCTTTTATGGAGGATGAGGTACTATTTAAAGATCAGGGAATCCTTATCTCAAAGAGGAGTGCCCTTGGTTCAAGGTCTAGCATGATGTTGAGACCTCTAATGTAATTGGGAGTTCATAAACAGTGAAGGCTAGATTCAGTTCTCTCTAAGGTATTCTGGTATAATTGAAATGTGGGGTCTCTGAAGTGATACAGATGTGAGTTGAAATCCTGGCTCAACTATTACTGGTTCCATGACCTTGGAAAAGTTATGTCACCTCCTTCAGTCTGTTTCCTTGTCTGTATAATGTGATTAATAACATTGTCTTAAAATATAGTTCTAAGGAGGAATAATATAAAGTAACAGGCACAGTACCTTGTACATATATGTGCTCAAAACGATTATGGTCACTATTCCAATGCTAACACTCTTTCGATTTGTTCCCTTTACAATACCTCTAACATAATTCTGTAAAATGCCTCTCCATCTCCAATGATATCACCCAAGTTAGACACTGTTTCTCTCATGTCTAGGATGTTATAATGGTCAATTAACTGGTCATTCAACCATTTGTCTCTTTTCCTCTCTCTTCTTACTTATCCCATGTTTTAGCATTTATGAATGTGGCTGCTTCTTTTTCCTATAGAAGAACAGGAGAAATAAAGCAGCAGAATGCCTGGTGCATAATCCAAACTATTTTTTTTAAATTTTTTATTGTTATGTTGATCACCATACATTACATCAATAGAAACTCTTTAGTCTGACATTCAAGGCCCTTTTTCAGTCCATAGAGTACTTCTGGGTCATTCACAGACTTTTTTGAACACAGCACTGCTCCACCCACTTATATGGCAAGCTGCTCTAACTAAAGCCTTGAGTTATGATTTGTTACCTTGGAGTCTAGAAATATATATATTTTGTGTGATGCTTCCTCCGTGTTCAATGAAGATATCAAAACCCTGCCAATTCTTCAGAGATACTTTGAACCTTAGCTTATATAATAAACTCTCTTTGACATGCTTAGCAGACTTGGTAAAAAAAAAAGGGAACATTTATTTTACACTAGGCACTTAACATAATTATATCATTTAGTCCTCATAAAATCCTACAAAGTAGTTATTTTTAACCTTACTATTAATAGAGGACATTGAGACACCAAGTACTATAAAATTTGCCCAAGATTCTACGTCTAACTGACTGGTGGGATCAGGATTAGAATACTGGTAGCTCTAACTTCAAAATCCATGTTATTTCAACTACTTTGTTATGTACCATCTTGAATGGGAAAGTAAAGATAATGACACTTTCTAAGTGACCTTGAGCAAGTCACTTTTCTCTGTGTAGTTGTATTTTACCATCTTAAAAATGTGGTTTGTTCTCTCAAGCTAGGTGATACATAGGTAAAGTCTCATTTATTATTTGTTCATTTCATTTTGTTATCAGTATTCTTTAATACTGATATTTATTTAATCAAATTATTGCATATGAAATAAAGAATCATTTATTAAAACAAGTGAAGGTATGAACAGCATTTCACATACCTCTGAGCCATGGAACTTAGATCTTGAAGATACTCTCAGACAACCCCTACACTGTCCTTCCATTTTATAGATGGAGAGTTTGTGACTGAGACATTGAGAAATGTCACTTGGCCAAAGGGAGGGGGGGAAAGTTCGTGGCTGAGCTGAAACTCAGTCGCACTGATTCCCACTTGAATGATTTTCCCTTCCCATCTTGCTATGGGAACAGTTGTTTTCTTGGCAGGCAAATAAAGAGTCCCAGCACAGGTCAGGAGGGTGGGCTGCCTGCTGGAGGATCTCGCGAGCCTCGTCCTAGAAGTCTTTGCAGAGCCCGCTTGACCTCCTTGTTCCGCAGAGTGTAAATGAAAGGGTTGAGCATGGGAGTGACAACTGTGTAGAAGACAGCAGGGGCCCCAGCTCCTGCCTCCCCGGAGTGAGGCTGCAGGTAGATGCAGAGAGGTGGCTCGTAGTACAGAGGCCCCACTGTGAGGTGGGAGGTGCAGGTGGAGAAGGCACGGCGCTGCCCTGGGCGGTGCGGATCCGCCACGATAAAGACGTAGGATACAATGATGAGGATCAGGCAACCTGCAACCACAACGCCAGTGTTGGCCAACATGACAAGCTCATTAACGGTGGCATCTGCGCAGGCCAGCCTGAGCACCGGGGGGATGTCACAGAAGAAGTAGGCAATGTGGTGGGGACCACAGTAGAGCAGGCGGAAGGTGAGGGAGGTGTGGATGGCAGAGTGCACAGCACCTACAGCCCACGTGAGTCCAGCCAGTCCTGCACACATCCATCTGTTCATGGCCACTGGGTAGTGTAGGGGTTGACAGATAGCTAGGTAGCGGTCATAGGCCATGACCGGGTGTAGGAAGCACTCAGTGCTGGCCAGGAAATGGAAGCAGTAAAGCTGTACAGCATGGCCCTCAAAGGAAATCACCTTCCCATCCACAGTCAGGAGGCCCGCCATGATCTCGGGCACGGTCACTGTAGACAAACAGGCATCCAGGAAGGAGAGGTGCCCCAGGAAGTGGTACATAGGGGAGCAGAGGTGAGGGTCAGAGCCCACAGTTATGAAAATGCGGAGGTTCCCGGTCAAGGTAATGCTGTAGATGAGGAGGAAGAGGAGGAAGAAGAGGGTAGGATGTTCAGCTGTGTACATCAGACCTTCCAGACAGAAGTGGCTCACCACAGTCTGGTTGGGGTCTTCTGTCTCCATGGCCATCTTTTCACACACAAAGTGGTTAGTTATCCCCCTTTGTAACAAAACTGACATCAACAAACATAATAAACAGCCATTCCTCTTGGCTGAAATGTCATTAGCCATTGGGTGATGCCGGCTTGGTCTTGCCCCATAAATTAGAGAAAGATATACAGGTTCATTTCACTCTTTTGACATGTTCTAGTGTTTTCTTGTGGTTGTTTCAAAAATGAAACTTTCTTTCTTTCTTTTTTTTTAAAAAGATTTTATTTATTTATTTGAGAGAGAGAGAATGAGAGAGAGTGAGTACATGAGATGGGGAGGGTCAGAAGGAGAAGCAGACTCCCTGCTGAGCAGGGAGCCTGATGCGGGACTCGATCCCAGGACTCCTGGATCATGACCTGAGCCGAAGGCAGTCGCTTAACCAACTGAGCCACCCAGGCGCCCCCAAAAATGAATCTTTCAACATGGGGGATCCACAATCCTTTGAGGCACATAAAGGACTGTAACAATTACTTGGAGAAATGCATTCCCTAAATAACAGCAATATAAATATGGATTGGAAATCTTATTCTCATGGACCATATCTTTTTTGCAAATATTTCAGAATTGTGATGCCTACACTCTCCTAATTTACTCTGCCATACTGCAGATGTGGATAAGCAGGCTCTTATTGCCATGTGACACTAAGGAGTTATATCCCATTCTTGGAGGTGAATTGCCCAGACTTTGGGTGCTGTTACATCAGCCAGGAACCCAGCAGTTCCATCCATTCTTCACTCAGGGAGTTCTTCGGAATTAACGGCCACCCATAGCCACGTCTCAAGTGTATGACAACAAAGCCTTAGAGAATTGGCTGAATAACTAGAAGGACAAATTGTTAAGTACATTTCTTGCTGTTCCTGTAAATCTCTGTTTCAACCTTTTGGAAAATGTATACCTGTGCCTTTATTGTTGAGCTGGAATTGAAATCTAGGAGTTTTCTTCAATTCTTTCCATCCTTTATCTCCTAAACCTATTTAGATTGCATTATGTGAAAAATTTCTTTAAACTCCTGATTTCTAGGGGCACCTGGGTGGCTCAGTCAGTTAAGCATCTGCCTTCAGTTCAGGCCATGGTCCTGGGGTCCTGGCATCCAGCCCCGCATCGGGGTCCTGGGATCCAGCCCCGCATTGGGCTCCCTGCTCAGTGGGGAGTCTGCTTGTCCCTCTCCCACTGCTCCTTGTGCTCTCTCAATCTCTCTCAAATAAATAAATAAATCCTTAAAAAAATAAACTCTTGATTTCTATTGTAGCTTCAATTCTCATGGACCTAACCCTGCCTGTGAATATTTTATACCTATATTTTCACAATGGTTTTATGTTCCATTTCTCTCCCAGTTCCCGAATGTATCAAATGGTTCTGTATTCAGCTTCTTTGTCAGTCTTCTTACAGTAACATTGTTTAATTTTTCTCTGCTCTTTACTGTTCACCTCTGCCTAAGGCATAAAAAGTATCGCTCTCTGATATTCAAAATTACCTATACATTGTTTCCATTATTATCACAAAATCTTTATCTCCTACAATCCCCTAAAGAAATATCTCTTATGTAGGGATGCTCTTTGCCTCATCTTCTATGCAATTTGCCATAATCTCTCCTTGATCTCCTCACTGCATTCCATTTTTGAACATGAATGAAATTCATTTAATCTCTTACAAATCTACTCTCTGTACTTAAGTTTGAAATTAATTCCTCTACAAGCCCTTTATGAATATTTTATCTCACACTGGTTTATTCATTCCTGAAACCTATGGTATTCACGATAACTATAAATAAATACCTAAGCATGTAGTGTCTCGACGACTTTAGTGTTCCACGTGCGTATGTCACGTCTTCCCACGAGGAACACAGGGAAAATATCTTATGCCTTCTCTAGTTTCCCATGAACATTTTGGGGATAAAGCAGTTGAAATATTAAGAGGGCAAGTTTATTTCGATTTTTATAAACTTAAATTTAAATCCCTGGTCAGGCAGGCACTCATTAGCAGAAAGAGAGGGATCATGGTGCTTAATTTCTCCGTTCCTCCATTTCTCAAATTAAAAATGGGGATATCATCATTTGTGATAATTATTATTTTACTTAGAATGTAGCAGGACACATAACATATGACCTTACATTTATTCATTTTCACTAATTTATTCAATGCGGTAATGGAGTAATCCCTATTTCACAAGAAAGCCCATTTCAATGTTGGGTAGATCAATATATCATAATGTCCTTTATATCAGTGGTAGATACGTATCCCTGATATTTTAACCAATTTAGTTTAAGATTTTCTCTCATCACACCCACTAGAATGGATGTCCTATATATATATATGACATATGGTAAGAAGTGTTACTGGATGTAGAGAAACTGAAACCTGTATACATTGCTAGAGAAAATGCAAAGTGGTATACCCACTTTGGAAAACAGTTTGGCAGTTACTTAAAAAGTTAAACATAAAATTACCTAATGATTTGGCATTTCCATTTTTAGGAAGCTACACAAGAGAAATGAAAACGTGTGTCCATATAAATGTGATTGTTTATAGCAGAATTATTCATAATAGCCAAAGCCTTGGAAACAATCATGTTTGTTGTTCATTGACTGGTGAATGGATTGAAAAAAAAGAGTATATTCACACAATGAAATATCATTCAGCAATAAAAAGGAACAAAATACTAATGCAGTTCATGAAATGGATAGAACTCAAAAATAGTGTGCTAGGGGCACCTGGGTGGCTCAATTGGTTAAGCGTCTGACTCTTGATGACTGGCTCAGGTCATGATCTCAGGGTCGTGAGACCGAGCCCTGCATCAGGCTCCGCAATGGGCATGGAGCCTGTTTAAGATTCTTCCTCTCCCTCTGCTCCCTTCCCCCACCCCTCTCTAAAAAACCAAACCAAACCAAAGCAAACAAACAAAAAATGGTGGGCTAAGAGAGAAGCCAGACACAAAAGGTCACACATTGTATGCTTTCATTTTGACAACACATCCTGTCAAGACAAGTCTTTAAAGAGAGCATGTAGATTAGTGGATGCCTGGGACTGGGCTGAGACGGGGAATGAGCACAAATGGTCAGACAGATCTTTCTAAAGTGATGGAAATGTTCAAAAATTGGATTGTGGTAATAGTTGTGTAACTTTGTAAATTTACTAAGCATCATTGAATTGTATACTGAAATAGGCTAATTTAATGGTTGCAATGTATACTTAAATAAACTGTTAAAGAAAGAAATCTAAAGAAGGAAAGTCTGCTGAGTGACACAAAACATGATTTAAATAAATGGAAAGATATTGTTTGCTCAAGGATGAATATAATAAAAAATTTACATTCCTTCTAATTTTTAAGCCTGTTTATTTTGAAATGTTCAATTTATAGCAAAGTTTAAAAAAATGATAAGTTATGGGAATAAAAGGCACAGCATAAGGAATATAAAAAAACAGAACACAGGACACCTGGGTGGCTCAGAGGGTTAAGCGTCTGCCTTTGGCTCAGGTCATGATCCCAGAGTCTTGCCTGCTCCAACCTCTGTTTGCTTCTCCCTCTGCCTGCCACTCCCCCTGCTTGTGCACACACACTCTCTCTCTCTGACAAATAAAATCTTTTAAAAAAGCAGAACACAATTTGAAATCTGAATGAGGTGATATCCCATGAAACGAAGGGATTGCAGCTGACCATCTCCAAGGCACTAGGATACAAGAAATGAGTAGGTGTTCTGGAAAGAGGTAGACTTGTGTTCAAATCCAGGCTCCATGCAAGAGGACTAGCTTGTTATGAAGTCCCTTGAAGTTTCTGAGACTTAGTTTTCTCATATGTAAATGGATTAAAAAATACTTAAGCTGTAAAGTTTTACAAGGATTCCAGGTGTGCTAGAGTAACTGCGAAATAATTTACTTGCTGAATGACCACTATTATAATTCTACATCCAATATTCTATGACTTCATGCCCATCTTTGAAATAGTTCTACCATGCACCCTTCTACTTTCTCTACAATCACTATAGTTAATAACTTGAACACTCACACTTGATATATTTTCATTTCTATTAATTGGTCACACGAATATCTGTCATGCTTCTCTCAATTTTTCCATATGATGCTTTCTTCATTCTCCACTTAAGAAAATGGAGATTCTGGGGCGCCTGGGTATCTCAGTTGGTTAAGCAACTGCCTTCAGCTTAGGTCATGATCCTGGAGTTCCGGGATCGAGTCCTGCATTGGGCTCCCTGCTCAGTGGGGAGTCGGCTTCCCCCTCTGACCCTCTCCCCCTCATGTGCTCTCTCTCTCTCGCTCACTCATTCTCTCTCTCTCAATAAATACATAAAATCTTAAAAAAAGAAAATGGATATTCCACCATCTGAAGCCCAATCAAAACTTTTCAAGGCAACTTAGGTTCTTCTCTGATATCTGAACATAACATTTTCCTTCCTTGTAAATAGCCAATTCCTCTTAGTAGTGCTTTATGCTGCATTGGGCTGTATGTGTATCTCCTGAGGACCTAGAAACACATGTCTTTTATATTTCAGATACTCGATCAAAATAGCTGAGCAAAGGCTACCAGATGCTCTCCCTACAGCAGTGGTACAAGAAGAGATTCAGGGGGAAAGGTGAGCTTTAGAGCCCACAGTCATGAGGATGAGAGAGTCTCAGTCACAGTGATACAGGGCATGCTGCTCAGGCGGAAGTGACTCACCTGCTTGGAGTTGGACCATTTGTCCCCATGACCATCTTTTTACTTGGTTGGTTAATTGCTCCTCTTCTTACTTATCTGAGTCCAATGTTTGTTTTTTAACATTTCCTTTTTCTTTCTTTTTTTTTTTTTTAAAGATTTTTATTTATTTATTCATGAGAGACAGAGAGAGAGGCAGAGGGAGAAGCAGGCTCCCAAGGAGCAGGGAGCCCGATGCGGGACTCGATCCCAGGACCCCGAGATCATGACCCGAGCTGAAGGCAGACGCTTAACCATCTGAGCCACCCAGGCGCCCTTAACATTTCCTTTTTCTAAGAGGTCACCTCCAAGT